ACAGCGAAGAGGACGGCGCAGTGGCAGGGTGGGCTCACAAGTGTGCACACCGCCGCCATGGGTGCGTCAGCAATACGCAATCACACACACACAGAGAGAAACAAAAGAAACAACCACACAAAGGGGCAGCAGATGAGCCCCAAGCAACCATTAGGAAGAGAAGGGGGATAAATACATCCACCATGAGCTCGCAGCACACACAGAGAGCGAGCGAGGAGGCATGTTACTTCTCCACGATGCTCATGACACAGCCGCCACTGCTAGAAACGCCAGCAGAAGCAGCGGTGCATGCACACACACAGGACTGACGCTGCTGTCAGAATTCTTCGTGTCCTTCACGTTCTCGGCCGCGGTAGCATCGGGTGTAGACTGGTCGTTTGGGGCACCATTGGTATCGGCATTGGTGAAAGCAGATCCCGATGAGCCCTGCGTTGCCGCTGCTTCAGCACTGTTTTCACCTGCATTGACTGGGACATCAACTGTGGAGGAACCATTTTCAACATGTGCACCCTCAGCGGCCTGAGAGGCTTTCTTATTGTGGTTGGCGGGTGGGCCGTCATGCGTGTGTTCCTTGTTTGTGGCAACCTCAGGTGAGAGATTGCTGCTGACACTCTGAGAGGTCTGTTCATCCCTGCCATTATTCGTATTGTCGTGTTTACCGCCAGCTGAGAGACCTTGGGTTTTCGATTCTTTCAGTGTTTCTTTGTTCTCAAGAAGAGCGTTTTTTGTATCTTTCTCCTTAGACGCCGCCTGTTTCTTCAAATGATCCTCTTCTTCCGTGTGCTCAGGGTTTGCCTCCACGTCGTCGATATCACTGCCTGTGTGAGTATTTTCCCCTCTAGACCTAGAACGGGAGTTTGTGTCCAGCCTCGTGCCGAGACCAGCCTCACCCTCCTGTTCAGTTCTCCCCAAGGTAGGAGGAATCCCTGTTATACATTTAGGGTTAGGCAGTACACACTCTGGATTCCCATCAGGACACTTGGCACTATCTCTGTCACACTCGCCATCACTTTGAGGAGGTTTTCTGTTCACATCTGTCAAACCGAGCCGGGGTTGTTCTTTTACTTCTGTCGCTGGACAGGGAGGACTCTCGCTCTTGCATATCGAGTAGTTGGAATCGCCAGAGTTCTGTTCCACATGCCCTTGCACCTTAGCAACGGAACTCCCCTTCGACACAGACGGAGCAGGTTTTTGTCCCTCCGGGCACGCACCATTCTTTCCAGGATCCACACAATTAACAACCTCATTTTGGGTGCCATCTTCACCAGCGGATGCAGACACACAAAGGACCTTGGGAGACTCACAATTATGGTCTCCTTGCGCAACAACAGTTGAAGGCGCAGCAGAGGACGGGGAAGGTGAGCAGGGCTTGCCTTCCTCAGGAGGCTCGCAGGTCCTGGCCCTATCTGAAACCTGAGCAACAACTGGGACGGTATTCCCAGAACACCCACAGGCACACCACACAAGGAACGAACACACACACAATACGCCACGGATAGTCATCATCATTGTCCGTATAATCTACAAAGAAACAAAAGAAATGGTACACAAAAATAAATTTCCACACAGCACCACACAAACCTCTCGTCCACTTCATCTTCACACAAATTTCGTACCCGATAGAGAACCACACAAAAGAAAAAAGAAATCCCATTACTAGGTGTCCAAAAATAAGAGAGTTGTGGCGTGTTGTGCCCACAGGAGCACTCCCCAACAGCAAAGCAACAAGAAGAAAACCAGATGTATCAGCCCCCCGAATGTGTGTCCCTGCCCCACACCCAACACACAGCTGCAGGCAT